TGACTTCCAGGCGTTTTGCTGGATTGTGAGCTATAATTTCCTCAAACATTAATTAATCAGAATAAAAATAGCCAAAAATTGTACGTTCAAAAGAAAACTAAAATTGTCACAACAACGTGAGAAAAAAATGTAAGCAAACTGTGGAGTGATTTTTTTGTATTAGAATGATGTACATACCTAGATAAACTTTGAAGATTTATTAAAAAAAAAGTAAGTGCGCCTGGGCCACACTGGAGAAGTGAAACTTACGTTACATATCTATTTTGTATCATAACAAAAAAATATGTACATATGTACATACATACATCTGCTCTTGCTTAAGTTTATATTTTTTGTCTCTTCTATCTAGATCCCCACATCTACTCCTGTTTGTTCTAATTACACCTCTCTTATTGTGTTTTCCTTTATCTTCATTTTTAGCTTTATACTCTACCGATAACAAAATCGATAGTAACATCCAACAAAATTTCGATAGCAAAATCGATAGGAATATTGGTAGCAAAATATAATAGAAAATCGATCAAAATATCGATAATAATATCGATCACAAATTCGATAAAAATATCGATTAAAAAATCGATAAATAATCGATGAAAAATCGAAACAGTATCGATAAAAATGTCGATAACAAATTCGATAAAAATATCGATAACAAAACCTATAACAATATCCCCAACAAAACCAATAACAAAAAAAATATCGACAACAAAATCTATAACAATATCCACAACAAAACCAATAACAATATCGATAACATAATCGTTAAAAATAATTATTACAAAATCGATAAAAATATCGATAACAAAAGTAATAAAAATATAGATTATTATATCGATAAGTCCCAAGAATCCCGAAAATCTATAAAATCCCAAAATATTTCACAGATTGAGTCTCTGTGTCTCCATCTATATCCTTTTCTCTATAAATTACCTTTATTTTAATCTTTCTTCCTCTATCTTCATCTTTACTTATATCGGTATCCTCATCCTCATCTCTTTTAAAAGTAAAGTGTTTAAATTTACTTTGATCTTCATTTTCTGCCTTTATCTTTACCCATACCATGTGCATACACTCGGCCCTAACCATTTCCGTTGCACCATTTCCGTGTGCAATTTCCGTTGAATTTGCCAATGTTTCACTTCAATAATAATTTAACTATCAAAATTGATGCATGACTACATAATTGTCTCCGATAATATTTAGCTCATTTTCCGAGAGAAGAAATAGTTAGCCGTACTTATTATTTATATTATCAAATCTATATTTTAGTATAGTTCCACCTAAAAAGGTACACAAATCCTTTTTTTAACCTCTTGATTGCTTTCTGTTTTCAAATTAATTATAAATTTCTTCTTTAAAACAAGGGACCGGAAATTTTACAAAAATCGCCACTTTCACACAAGCAAGCTCATTACTCCGATCGTTAAATATTTAACTACTTGCAAAATTTACAACAAAAAATTCCACAAAAAAAAAACTGTTGTGGAAAATTTGTCATGACCACAAGTAAACAGCAAATAATCACGCAGGTGGGCGTACAAGGCACTCTTTATTTGCAATTTACCACATGCTGGCGAACAAAACTTCACACACTGCCTGCAGCCCTCGTGCACCACTAACTGCATGCAAAATGTTGTGCTGTTCAGAAATTATCATAAAACAGCATCAACCAAAAAAGTTGTAGTTGTTGTGTAGTGTGTTGAGTGTTGAGTGCTGAGTGGCCACTGACCAAGCGACGACAACTTTTAGTTTCAACAAAAATTCCACCGAAAAAGGCGAGGAGCCGCAACAAAATTCAATCAAAAACAACAACAAAAAAAGACAAAAATCTACAAGCAATCCACTTTCAGCTTTCTTCACCACCAAGCGCAACTCGGGAGCCAATGGATGAACATGCATGCCATATGCATATGTGTCTGTATGTTTAGTATTGGTTGCTTGTTATTTTTTTTTTCCAACTACGCTAGCGCTTTGGCGCGGTGAGATCGATGCTTAAACAAATTTAACAAAACTATTTTTTCCTCTTCAGCCAACGATTGAATTGAGTGTCGAGATCGACTGACGCGCTCACGCATACGCAATAGTCGCACTCTTTGCCACTTGTGGGCAGTATTGGCAGGTAATACTGGTTGTTTGGCTGTCTTACGATTTGTTTTTGTTGTTTTTTACTGAGCACCACTGCCATCATCAAAGCGGTAAACCACCCAAAAATCTATCGAAATCACCACAGTTAATCACTTGGCGTGCTACGATCGAGACATGCTTGGCGAGTGCTCGCTTTGTACAACGTCTGTTAGCTGCTTGCTGGTCAAACGAAATGCACACAAGCGCGGCAGCGGCGTGTACATTAGTAAATCGATACAAAGTTTCGTGTTGTTTGTTGCATACTAAATAAATACTAGTAAAAGTGCGCGCGTGTGACTGTCAGCGTTTGGCATTGAAACAAAGAAAAAGAAATCGTAAATTTAATGTATCGCATAATTAAATAGCCAATGGAATTTCTTTAACTCTTTTATTCGAGTCGCGTATAAACTTTTAGAAAAAGTTATAATGTGACTGTCGAAAATGATTACTATGTATTTTCAAAGCTCGACTGCACGATTATAACCCTTTGTGCTAGTGTTTGTATTCTGTCTTAGTGTTCTTGTTATAAAACCACTAATAAATCAATTTGTTCTACCTTTCGGGTGTAATTTCTTTAAATTTTATGCGCCAGTAGCAGTGGTACGTTGCAGCGCCAACTGTTAAAAGCCAATATGTTTACAAAAAATTACACCAATTCACGTTTTAGTCTTTCAGTGTTTTAAGTTCTTTTAATATTTATTTGTACTACGTCCGCGTTTTTTAATTATGTGACCTATTCAAACGATTGTATGTACGTACGTACGCAGCCGATAAACCCAAAAGAATAATCATCATACTCGTATAATTTGTTGGTTATTATTACGTGGATAGCTTGAAGCTGATTCGAATTGGGGATTTACAAGGCGTGCTAAAGGCAGTGTCAGATGATTGGGCATTTGCGTAAAATTGGCATCCCAATTTTTTTATTTTGTACTAATAGCTCAATATAAAAAATGGACAAGCACCATCAGCAAAAAAAAAATTACTAAAAATCAACGCGATTTTCAAGCGTCTTGAAATTTGCACTTTAAATTACTAAAATTTAATGAGCTATAGAACTACATGCCCAAATTTTTTTTTAAATTCTAAATAAAAGGTTTAAAGATTTTGTGTGCAAATGTCAAAGTTTTGTTGAATTTTCATATGTTTTGCAAGAAGTTTGAAATGTGGATTTATGTGGCGCTGGTTAGGTAAAGTGCTAAACTTTTATAAAAAGAAATATAAACATTACTTAAACAAAAAAAAAAAAATAGCCAAAACTAGTCAAAATGTCACTTGACTTAATCAGCTCACCACAACTGTATACATATTGAAGTTTACATAGAAGCTTTTTCCAGTGATACACATTTACGTTGAAGCAGTTGTGTGCTGTTTTATGCTTATTAGATACATAGTATGTATGTATGTATGCATGTGTGCCAATAAAATATTTAACTATTTAAGTGTTGATGACAGGAAAAGAATTGCATACAAATAAATGTCGAATCTACATGATTGAAATGTTGATTTCTCAGTGTTGTAAAATTTGTGTAAAGCATACATGTGTATGTATGTATGTTTAGGCGTTTGGATTTGTGCCTCTTAATTTTCCTGTGTGGCTTCCTTCTATGAAGTTTGTGTCTTAAGTCTTTCGATGTGTGTGTGAATAATTTTTTCGCAACGCTTAAAGCGCAGTGAAAACGTGAATAAAAACACAGATAAATGAACAAATAAATTTTTAAATGCCCTAGAAGTGGCTAAATAAAAATCAAAGTTCTTATTGCAAAACATAAAGTGGATAATAAATAGATGAAATTAAGTACGACGACCTAAATGTTTATGAGAAAAAATTACATATGACTTTATACTTTGGGTTATGTAGTTTTAGTAATTTTAAGTTTGCAATAATCATTTGATTTTCAAGAGGTCTACTTATACCATTTCTATGAAAAGTTGTTTTTTTTCATATAAAATACATGGAAAACTTTGAGTGCTTTGAGCGACTTCTAAATGTTTTTTTGTTTTTTTGTTTTAAAATTTCGACTTTACATTTTTTTAGACCACTCTAATGTGCATATGTATTACTTTCAAAATTACGAATGCTGCATGTTTCACTTCAAACTTTCTATTTTTACTGGATATGGCAAAAAAATTAGAACTAAGAATTAGACTTACAGCCTCATTGCGTAAGTCGTAAATTAGGCTAAATTGTAAGACTCGACAACATTGGCATTGTTTACTGTCGTGCTGAAAAAAGTAAACGACGAAATTTGTCGAAAACTATACAGTGCTGCCAAGTTTGTTCCGTTTTAATACACTAGTCGAGTGGAAATTTTAGGCAATGACGTGAAATTTTCCATACGATTCGACTCTCGAAAAACGACTTGCATTCGACACGACTCTCGCAATGAGGGTGTTAATTTGACACCCAACAATCTGCTTAGCTTTGTTCGTAAATCGTGCAGATTAAAAACAGATTCAAAGTACATGAAAACAGTACAATGGATGCCAGGTAGTGTGAATGTTGTTTTCTGCACGCGCTGTTTTGTGGATGGTTAAAAAAAAAAACTACTTATTTATTCATTGGGTTGCAATGTCTTATATTTATTCGTATTATATAACAGCTTTTTGTATCTACTTATACCATTATATATCGGATAGTTAAAAATATAATATAAAACAAAGTCGTTATTTTCGGGATTAAATTTTTTTGATAATAAAAACCACAAAATAATCATGAACTTGCAAATATAAAAAGAAACCCATCGCAATAAAATTTGACTTTTCGGCGAAATTGTATGAAGTACTTATTACAGACAAATTATATATACAAACTAAACATTTTTTTTACGATATATTTAATCAGTCTAATTTGTATTTCCTTCTTCTATTTTCAGCGACTTAAAACTGATGTAAATTGAAATTTTTACATTTAACCTAAAAACTTACTGCCACATAAACACAGAAGCTCACTAAAATAAAAAAAAAAATTTAAATTTTATTTAAAAAAAGTAACGGGTAATCTACAAGCCAACTAAAACAACCTACGCTCTAAAACAAACCACACCAGCCTGCCAGCCAGTCAAGTCAGCCTGGAGTTAGTAAAGTTTAATATTTGTTGCTTGTTGAGATTTGGCGAAGTCCCAAGATTACAGTAAAAAGCGCAAAAAATGGCACTACGCCTGCGACGTGACGTACAGAAGGCATCGTATTATGTTTGGTTTTTGGGCGCCGAGGAGGCGAAAGGTTTGCGCGGTACTCGTGTCATCAATTCAGTGCTGCCGTATCTGATTGATCGGTCACGCGGACAAGAGCCACTCAAGGTGACGCTGCAGGTCTCTCACAAGGGTATTAAGATATTACAGGTGAGTCGATGGAGCATACAATAATATGAAAGGAAGATTTTTTTTTATAGAAATTAATAAATGAGTTTGAGTTGGTGATGGAAAATAAAAAGAGAGGGTAATCATTATTACTTTGTTTTTTTTTTTGAAATAGAAAAATTAAAAAAATTTGAATATAGTATGTGTTTATGTATGTATATAAGGTTAGCATTTAGTTGGAACAAACATATGTATATGGGGCATTCCATACCAATGTGGACGGGGTTCACACTTCATGAAATTTGAGCTTGATTAATACATTTTTCAAAACTTTCCAACACAAAAACAAAAACAAATCGATTTAATAGTTTTCCAAATATCTCTACAACGGGACGAGGTAAAAATTTGAAAAAAAGTCATACATACATACATCAAAATTCTCTATAAAACGAGATATTTAAAACATTTTTGTTCTTGAAAAATTTTTCACATACAAATTTTTTGTAATTTTTTCACATACAAACTTTTTGATAAAAAAAAATAGTTTTTGAAAATATGCCAAAACAAAATTGAAAGAAATCACAATGGTAGCTCTGAGTATTGCGCAATATTTAAATGTTAATATCCTTTAAGCTTTAACTGTTCTATCATCTGAGATAATTTTTTGGAAAAATATTTTTTAAACCCAATTTTATTTATAAAAAAAAATTCTTTAGGTATTTTCAAATCAGCCTAGCCCACGTAAATCTTAAAATTTGTCTGTAATATTTTGGCGAAAGTTTTAAAATAACATAATTCCGATGGAAAAACAGTACCTCTGTAATATACATTCATGCATAAAAAATTGCCATGCCATAAATGTGAGACTCCATTGTAAATCACCCAATATTTGTTTAATTATTTTCATTTTCTCAATGCAAAAAAAAAATCTAGCTAAACTCGTTTTTCTCTCATTTTCCATTTGTTAAGTTGTGACGTTCTTCGAGCATACCAGTGCTCCTTTTTTGAATATTTTCTAGAGATGTAGTTACTTAAAAAGAAAATGGTCACAGAATTTTAAATTATGCAATAGTTTTTAATATATTTACATATGAATTATCTCATTTCGAATTCACAAGGTGCCATAAGCGTCGTATTTTCATAAATTCAAAACGCTTAAAATAGTTTTTGGTTGTTGTGAACCACTTAAAAATATTTTTAATTTTTATAAAATTTATTACATTGTGATAATATGACTAGTTATGACACCCACAATTAATTTCATTTCTTCACATTTCGCTTTATTACTGTTTGCTTCATTCCATTGCGTTTCATTTCATTTTGATCCATTTCGTTTCGACTTGTTTCATTTTATTTTATTTTTTAATTTCGTTTAATTTTTTTCTTCGCTTATTCGTTTCTTATATACCGTCTCTTAATCCCTCAATTAATCTCATTTCAATTTATTTCATTTTATTCGTTTCTATTTCTTGCATTTTATTTTTTTATTTCATCTATCCCCAGTTTCACCAATCAGTTTTAAATTTATTCAACTGTTAAAATTTAAAATAACACAATTTTGTTCGGTAATATTGTTGCTGATAAATTTAAAATTGGGTGAAACAACCGGGCATTAGTTTTTCAATTTAATTTTAGTTAATTCCTCACTAATTTATTTCTAATATCTTTGCAATATTTTCAATTTGATTCCACTGCCACATAGGGCTCTTCGAAACATTTTATACCACACAGTGCCATAACCAGCTCCGTGCAAACAGATGACATCGTTGCATGCGTTTTGTTGCTTTATAATCCGGCAACAAAATGTCCATTGCACGTACACGCCTACCGTTGCGATTCCGAGTCCACAGCTGAAGCGTTGCATCAACAGCTGCAAATATTAATCAATCGCCCAGAAAATCAAAAACGCTTTGAGGAATTGGAAACACGGTGAGTAGGCAAATTTTTATTTATAATTTATTCGTTGTAAGTTTCTCTCAACTTTCATTCATATAAGTACATATGTATGTACATAAGTAAGTATATACAAGTTTGTGTCTTAAATCTTCCGTTTTTAAATGTCTGCAAAATGTAATATCAAAATATAAGTTGCAAGTGAAAGTAATAGAAATCTTTGCAGAAATTTTCGTCGATTGGCGAATATCAAAAGGTGTAAAATTTAAATGACTAGCATACACCATTTTATGCGATTGTTTCGTCTGCTATTAGTTTTCCAAAATTGAGGAAATAATTTGTTGAACGGCAGCATCACAGAAGCATGCAAGGAAGTCAATAGCAAGAAATCATTTTTTTGTTTTTACTTTTATTAGAAAACGCGCAAGTTCACACTATGTATATTGCAATAAACGCAATAACAAATAGTTTTGTTTTCTTTACTTTTGGTGCGGTAAAACACACACACGTGCATTTAATGATATGCATAGAAATTTTCAAGTGAAGATTTTCTTGCTGGCTGCAATAATCATTACACGGAAATAGTTGCAGCTATAATAAAAACTTGGAAACGTGGAAAATAAAACACAAGACATATCTACGTATGTAAAAATTTATTTCAAAAAAATAAAATGAAATTTAAAATGATGCGCATTGATTGCACTTAAGTGCCACAACACAACGTTGGCAGCTTGCCTTGCCAGCCTATACGGCAGCAAAGTAGGCAAATCCGCTACTCGTGATGCAACCACATAACTCCTTTTACGATTCTTCCTCAATTGTCGCCTGGTTGCATGTGACATGCGGCTGCGAGGTTGGCAGTGGCAACGGCAACGGCAAAGATTTTTGTGACACGTCTCGCGCGCAATGTGCGTTTTTTTTGTTTTGCTTTGTTTTTATTATTTTTGTTTCGCTGCAAATATGCACAGTTACTCCATTAGTTTATAATGGGCTTATATGACAGTCATTAATTAATTGTGGCAATAATTGTAAAAATGAAAATGTAGCCGCCAGCACCGTTGCCAGAAATTTCTTGGGAATTTCAGAGCCCATCAAAATGGAAATAGGAAGCACGAAAGTCAGTTGTCAGCTGTCGACTTTCTCTGAATGGTTAATCAGGGTGAAAATGGCAAACTCAAGTGCAATATTTTCTAGCCTTTTTTACGTTGTGCACAATATTTTTGGGTAGTACGTACACTGGCGGCAGAAATAATGGACTCGTCGTACTTTTCAGAATTTTGGCTATGTTTATTTAGTTTATTTTATGTTTAATATTTTTTTTATAAAAGCTACAAAAATTATAAAAATTGGACAAATTTTCACCAAGTTTTCAAACTTTTTATCCAGAATTTAAAGAAAAATACAAAAAAAAAAAAAATCAAAAATCAACGGTATTTTCTGGCCACTTAAAACTTACACTTTATTATGCTAAAATTGAATGGGCTACAAAGCTGCATACATTTTTCTAAAAATTCTGAAAAAACTGCAAATTTGTCTAAAAAATCTGAATAAAAAGTTTAAAATATTGGTAAAGATTTGTCGAATTTTTATATGTAATTTTATTTTGTAAAAATTTGAAAAGGAAATTTATATGGTGTTTGTTGTATGGCTCGCCAGGCTTTTATAAAAAAAAATATTAAACATAAAATAAACCATGGAATAATAGCCAAAACTCTTCAAAGTAAGGCGAGTCTATTATTTCTGCCGCCACTGTATACATATATGCATGTGGTTTCTTACATGTATACACATGAATATAAATAGTTTTTATTCTGCTGGTCAAATTCCCATTTCGCGTTGAAGCATGTCTAAAATGTATTCTTATTTTTCCTTTAGCAGCTGTCAAGTCTTCAAGTCTTTAGTTTGGCTTTATGTGCCTATGAATGTATGTGGAAGCGCGGCGCTTTCTCCTTTGATTTCTACCTGCTATCAATTGCTAAGTGGGCGCAAATGCTGTCTTTGGTGAAAATAAAATTACTCAAACATAATTTGGCGCCCGTTGACACACTAACAGCTGACACTAGCGACGTCGGAATTGAACCTTTTTTTGCTTTTGAAGTTTCATATAAGCCTATAGCGCAGATTTTGAAATGTGCGAAATTCCTTATTAATGCGCTAACAATCGGTAATGTGTAGAGAATTTGGACTGCCAAGAAATATATATGTACATATATGCATGTACAATACTAATTCACTAAGATAGGGGAAAATATTAAAATTGCCGGCCGTCACCTGGTGGAAGATGTTTAAAAATTAGTGACTTTTGATGAGTATGTTTTCAGGAAATACATCTCTGGTTTCCGTATAATTTTACATTATTTTAAAAAGTTAAAAGCTTAAATTGGAAAAACTTATACATACTCGTATATGCAGCGATAACGTAATGAAACGTTTATTGAAAGGTCATTCGGATCGTTGGGTAAATTTTGTTAAAAAAAGAAAATTTATGGAAAATCAATTTTAATCATGTACGTACATTGGTTTGGTTCAAAAAATGCATGCGGAAAGGAAAGTTTAAAATGTTAAGCTCTCATCTCATAGGATTTTTCCAAAAGGAAAAAAAGAATACCCGTATTTTTTTGTGTATAAAAAAGATATTTAAAACTGCCTCAAAGCCCATGAAGTTTTCCATGTATTTTTATATAGGGGAAACACGTTTTCGTAGAAATGGTATCGAATTCTTAAAAATCAATAAAAGACTTCCAAGAACAATACTCGATGGTTTATTTAACAATTTCTTATTACTAACTGTCATTTATAGGTCCTCCAAAATCCACAAAAAAATGCAATGGGTTCCCCCATAAAAATCTTTAGTATTAAACAATGGTGAAATAAACAATTGATTATTATTACTGGAAGTCTCCTGAAAATAAAAAGAGTTTCCTGATCGAAAAATATTGATATTCAAGAATTCTATACCATTGAATACTGCGAAAAAGTGTTTGCCCCATATAAAATATGAGACCAATTGCATTCATTTAGGGAGTCAAAATATGAATGATTACCAAAGGATTTGTAAAAGTTTTTACATTTTTTTTTATAGTCTAGAGCCTTCATTTTTCAATCGAATAATATTTTTTTTTTAATGAAAGCTTATAAAAGTTATAAGAGAGTGGTTGAGCCCGATCTTTGAATTTGTATTTGTTTATATCAAATTTTTTTGGTGCAAATTGCAGTGAATGATCGTTTTAAAGAAAATCGATTCCGCTGTTGCTGGTTATAAATGTTACATAATAAAAACTAGTTGAAAACAATTAAAGGGTTTCACTAAAATGAAAAAATGCAAAAGTAAAATTTATAAAAAAAATCACCAAAATTTTAGTGTAATAAAGTGCAAGTTTCATGTGGTTGATTTGCTATATTTTTGCTGACATTTCCTGCATGCTTTATACGTATGGAAGAAAATGCTTAGCACCATCTCTTTGAGTAGCCTCCGCTCCGGTCTTGCTCAGCCATTTGTATTATTTCATCGACTTTTCCAGAGAGTGGCTTACCAGTGCGATGTGCATCTTTGGCATAAAATTTTCCGTAACGGAATTCGGCAATCTATTTTCGACACTCCGCAATTTTTTTATACTAAAATACCAGCTTATATTTAAGGATTAGCCAACAATACTATGCCGTCAAAAAAGTTTTAGCCCCAACCAACTTAAATTGGGATTGGAAGGGTTAACTTCGAACTCATAGATATAATCCCTCGAGTAGTAGTTATCAGAAAGCATGCGCTATATAGGTTTATTAGACATTTAGCTTTATCCATCTTCTTACATAAGAACAATCGTTTCCCAACAAAACACGTACTATTTTAAGACCCTGTAAAACAGCTAAAAAAAAGAAGTAAAAATTAAAAATATGTAAAATGTATTTTTATGCACTCAAAAGGTGGTAAATGCATACATATGTATGTATGTTTGTATATTAAAAAAAAAAAATTGCTATAAATTCTTCCCACACCTCCTAAATATTTACAATTTATGTGAAAAATAGATTTATGTAAAAATTATTGCAAAAACTACCCACAAATAATTCACTGATTCGGCACAAAAATTCTTTAATGCTAAAGGAAAATATTTCACGATTTGAAATTCAATCCATGTCGCTTACGTTGGCGTCTTACCAGTTCGCCAGCACATTTGGCATCTTGAAAATGTCAACTCGAACGCCAACAAGCAGACAGACATGAAGACAGCAGAAAATCAAATAAAACCAAACCAGATCAGGCCAAGTCAACGACGACTACGACTAGGTATGACAACAAAACAAGCCAACTGACTGGTAGGACCACACAAAAGAACATACCTTTATATATTCTTTATAAACAAACATACATACATACATACACATGTACATATGTATGTGTGTATGTGTTTGTATTGCCATAAATGAGTAAATGATGTAATCGTTTTGGCGTTGATTTGTTTTAAGGTGCAGCAGGCAGTTGTCGTGTTACTAAATTCAATAAAAAATTTATAAATTTAACAAAAAATATATATGTATATATATTTAATAAAACAAAGTGTGCAATAAAACACGCTTAACCTTAATCCGCAATTCAATGCGACAGACAGCGCATCTTTACCTCCCCCCAACCATCGTTACTTCGATAAAAAAGGCAAAAAAAAAAAAATAAACATTCTGAATTCGACACTGACTGAGCCTGCTGCATATGCAGTTATTGCTGCGGGCCAGTGGGGGCGGTGTGCTATTTTAGTACGCTGTAATTTTTTGTTGCTTTATACCTAAAACTATGTTTGGAGTAGATAAGGTTTAGCGAAGCTAGTTTGCCGTTGCCACGAATTCGCATTTGCATAAATAATTTGGTGTGCGAGCAACATGTTGCTGCTTAGCATTAGATTTAGCATTTTCATGGCGTTACAAGTTGCTAGTAGACATTCGATGCACATTAAGATAGCAACAAACAAAGAAATTGATTACATTAGGATGAAATTTATATTTGGAGTTAGAATTTACGGTTGCATACATTTTTATTTCCAACCGTTGAAATACATAAATGGTAAAGCTAAGAATAACTAAAGTGCCACGTAGCCCAATTTAGATAGAAACAATTTTCCAACTGTATTTGTTATTTTTAGGG